AAATAATAACTCAAAAAGATTAAAAGATAACATCATAATTATTTACTGAACCCTTAAATTAATCAATTATATAATGAAAGCCATAAAAACAGACAATTAATCATGATAATCGTCATAATCACCGAAGCCCTAAAACAGACAATTAATCGCAATAACCGTGACTATTTTTAGACAATTAATCGTCAGCCAAATTTCATAATCATGACAGCCCTAATCATAACAACCGTTTTAATGCATTATAATATTTATTTATTTGTGGTTATAGCTTTTAAGAGTATGATGATTTATAACACACAATGAACACAATGCATTCACTTAATTTACAATGGATTATATTTCCCATAGTTGTAATGTATTATAAGTCTCATATTGCCATTGTTAACTCGTTACTTTACTTAAAGCAGACAAAGACCACTTATAAATAACAACACTTGTAACCCGAAGGTTGTGGGTTCGAGTCTCAGGTCTGGCAGGGATTGTAAGTGGGGGAGTGAATGACCAGCTCTCTCTTCTACCTTCAATACCACGACTGAGGTGAGACCCTTGCGCAAGGCACCGAACCCCCAACTGCTCCCTGGGCGCCGCAGCAAAGATGGCTGCCCACTGCTCCGGGTGTGTGTTCACGGTGTGTGTGTGTTCACTACTGTGTGTGTGCACTTGGATGGGTTAAATGCAGAGCACAAATTCCGAGTATGGGTAACCATACTTAGCCACATGTCACTTCACTTTCATAAATAATCATACTCATAAAAGTTATAACCACACATAAGTAAGTTTTATAATGTATTATAATAGTTGTTATGATTATTTATGAGATAAAACAACATATAAGGTTTTTTATAATACATTATGCATTCATTATAATGCCTTAAGAATATCCTTATAATGTGTTATAAAAATGGGCTTCATAGAAAGTGTTACCAATATTTCATTTTCATTTTTTCTACATTTTCTTTTCATTTTTCTTTTTTGGGTGAACTATGTCTTTAAAAATTGTTTTTATTAATATGGATTTTTTTCAGATTTTTTATTAATGTGTAAATATGAAAAATAATAATCAATGAAATTATACTCTAAATGACAAACTAAAACTGCCAGTAGGTGGCAGTAAATGTCTTAATGCACATTTTGCATGTCTCCCTTATTTAACACACCTTTTTCAGATCATAGAGCTCCATGAACTGAACTGAGGCTGTTTACACTTGGCATTAACATGCGATCACCGTCATCCGATCAAGCAGATCGGATCATCAGTCAATCAGGACACAGCGCGTTTACACGTTGATAACCAGGATAACTGATCGGATCTCTCTTTCCCGCGCAATATTTAAATAAGTCTTACTTACACTTATAAGTCACCGGACATGACAAAATACTATAGAACCTATTATAATTAGTGATGCTCTCTACACTAGATGTGGCGCAGCGCGACAAATCCCCGACAGTAAACTGTTGCCTCGTTCTGTTCATGACGTACTGACACAAAGTTAAAATGATTTGCAACGGTCGCGTCCAGTGTAGACAGCCTCACACTGTTGCGGCGCAACAACTGCAGGTGCGTGATAATTCAGATGTGTGAATTCAGGTTCTGTTGTTGCTCTGTATCCTTCTGACAGTTCGGGAGAGTGGGGGCCCGCCGTTTTGCATGACGTCGACTTGCGAATTCAGACATGTTGGCTGGATTGCGTTTACATTACACTGAGATCCGATCACAATGCGTCCTCGACTACCTCTGGACCAGGACACGCTGATAGGATAACATTCTGATCAGAAGCGCTTTTACACTCGTCTTTTCAGTGTGTATGTGGACAACATACGGATATAGGTCGCATGTTAATGCCCAGTGTAATTGCAGCCTGAGAGTGTCAGATAAGGCTGGCCAAACACTTGAAGATTTTAAGGCCAATTTTATGCCCAATTTGCACCCCGAACGATCGGGGTCAAATTATCTAATGTGCGCGTTGAGAAGACTATAAGCCTAAAAATCGGTTGAAACTGTCTTCATGTCTGTGGTCTCCCATGGATTTGAAAATAGTCTAGCATGTCCCAGGTCTAAGGGAGACATTGAAAATGTGCAGAGTGGGGGTCCCCAGGACCAGGATTAAGAACCATTGTCATAATGAATAAGTCATTGAGTCAATAATTCATTCGTTCGTTCGTTCAAAATGCAGATTCGTTCAGAAATTGTGTTGCTTGGAGATGTAAAACAGTTCTGCTGTGGCTTTAATATTTGCGTTGGCAAAACTCCGCAAATACAGACAATATTGTGTCTAAAATATAACACAATTTTAAGTTCTTATTTATTGAACTGTTGTATAAAATCAACATCACATTTGCACTAATGCTATTAGGGACAATATATATATATATATATTACGCACTGAGATGTTGAGCTGCGCAGACTGATTGATGTTATGGTGTATGACATCTAAGTACTGCCAGAGCTATAGAAAAAGCACATGGCTCTGCATGCTTTCAAATCCCATTACTTTGATGTCATAAACTGATCGGACTGAGCAACGCTTCAAGTCGAACACACCTTATAAAATGTAAGAACGCATGTGGGGCAGGTGCGGGGCGTTAAAAATGTGAACACATTTTTTTCCGTAACTAATTCATTAGATTAACGTGTTAAATTGACAGTCATAGAATAAACATTTCAGAAGGCCTGTATGTATTGGCTATGCATGAATGACAGAAATGGAGCGTAGAATTAGTTCTGGCAGGTCATGTTAGTCAAGCTCGCAACAGCTGACACTCAGCTGATCCACGTCTACCTATAGGAATACGACGCCAATCATAATTCCCTTTATAAGGTCCTTTCAGTCATTATTCAGCAGCTATCGCTTTGCTCAGGAGCTAATCAGACGGTGAATTCCACCTCTATAGGAAGCGTTCAATAAGGAATTTTGCGACAAGGGTTCGTTTCCCACAGAGTATCTCACCAGATTTAAGTTTGTGAACTTGAAAGCGAACTCGCCACGTTGATTGATTGATAAGCCGATAGACTTACAATTGACCTGAGCGAGCAACTGCTTCTCACAATTGACAGACTCTTTGCCCGCAATTCATCGCTGAAGTTGTGCTAATGTGACTGCATCAACAACACTTTAACACGAGATCTGCTTTCCCCGCTGGAAGAAGCAAGATATGAAGAAGCGTTAAAGCATCCACGTAACAACTGGCCATTTCACCCTTTTTTCATCTCTGAATGTCTTCACGAAGCTAAGCTAAGTTTCTTATTTCATTCTCATTGCCTAATGCTATGTTGGCAAATATGCTATCGTCAAATATTGCTCATTGTTTAAGGCTAGTTGTTCAGTAACATGTTTGCTAGGCATGCTGTCGTATTTTGACACGCTGGTAACATTACCCAGTTAAACTTACCACAGCAAGCCTTGTTTTAAATCTGTTGGTTAAGGCTGTCTGATATGAAATAGGCTTGCTGCTTCAGGTTCATCTAGTATTGGGAATGCGGTTTCATTAACTTATCCGACTATTATTTCCAACACGCTGTGTTTTAGTCAGTGATATGCTGTTGCTTAAAGCTATCTAGTGTATCGGTAATGTGCTTGATATTTAACGCGCAGTATGTAGATTTTGCTACTAAGGTTATGAATGCAAACGTTTATCTGGATAAGGGCAACATGCCTGTTGCCTAAATTTCGAGTACCGACCTTATGCTGTACTGCATTAAAGGGGCATGCTGCTCTTCTCAGCTGCTTATTAAAGAAGAGCACCCCTTCGCTGCTTCTCTTCTTCTGTAAGGGCATGCTGCCCCAGTCTATGCTATTTCAAAAAGCATTTGCTTTAAAGCTATTGGGATTTTGCTTGCTTGATAAGGCTTATCTAGTGTCAGTATCATGTTTGTTGCTAGTCCTGCTTGTTGCTTTAAGCTATTGGTTGTTACTGCAAGTGCTGGTATCCAGGTAAACTTGCAACAGCAAGAAGCTAATGTTTAAGCTGTCGTTTAAGGCCATCTAATTGTTCTTGAAATATGCTTGCTGCTTATGGCGCATCTGATTATTGGGAATTCTATTTCTTTAGGTTTCTCTGACCACTGCAACATGCTGTGATTAAGCAAGCAACATGCTTGTTGCACAAAAGCTATCGAGTGTATTGGTAAGGAATTTTGTCTATACTTGCGCGGGTTATCAGATTGAGGACTTCACAATGAGCGCAAATGTCAATGGGAGGCAACAAACCTGTAAACTCACGAGTTGATTTGAGTTATATGTTGTTTTTATAGAGTTTTTAAATGGATGCTAAAGCTTTAGGCCAGGTAGAATCTGCGATCTCTGAACCAGTTCATTTGCTCGCTTCTACGGCTGCAGTACGCTGTGTTTGCTGCAAACTGGCAAACTAGGCTGCAATTCTAGTGGGTTTTCTGCATCTTTAATCTTTTTCAGGTACTGCATTAAAGGGGCTTGCTGCTTATAAAGAAGAACACCCCTTCGCTGCTACACTCCTCCGGTAAGGGCTTGCTGCTCTTCTTAGCTGCGTATAAAGAAGAGCATCCCTTCGCTGCTACACTCCTCCGGTAAGGGGCTTGCTGCTCTTCTTAGCTGCTTATAAAGAAGAGCACCCCTTCGCCGCAACTCTCCTTCCGTAAGGCATTTTCAGTTAGATTGCTGTCAGCATGTGGTTGGGGGGGCGTTCAGCATATGGTTAATCTCTGAACCAGTTCATTTGCTCACTTCTACGGCTGCAGTACGCTGTGTTTGCTGCAAACTGGCAAACTAGGCTGCAATTCTAGTAGGTTTTCTGCATCTTTAATCTTTTTCAGGTACTGCATTAAAGGGGCTTGCTGCTTATAAAGAAGAACACCCCTTCGCTGCTACACTCCTCCGGTAAGGGCTTGCTGCTCTTCTTAGCTGCGTATAAAGAAGAGCATAACCATACCCCCAACCTAAAATGTATGCTAATTGTAAGTTATCTTTGACGATAGTGGTCCTGACAGAAATACCTTTAGCTGACAGGGCATCACCGTGCTCACTCACCCTTGTCGTGGTGATGCCAGCCTCCGGTATAGTAATCGTGCAACACCTGAGGAGAGCTCCAGGTATCCAGGAGGTAGTCTACCTGATGCTGCTTCCTCCAGGTCAGACTCTGACAAAGGATCTCCCGTGCCTTATCTATGTTGAAGTCCCGTGCACGCAGGAACCGTAGAATATGCTCATCTTTTGGGATCTGAGAGGACAGGAGGATCAACAAGTAAGCTAGACAGGTGGGTTTCTAGACTGCCACTAACTAAATGTGACCAGATCGTAAAACTGATCATTGGTGAATTTTCGGAATACATGGTGCTATCCTTCAAAAAAATATACGCCCTTATTACATAAATTATGTGCAGTTTAGGAGAAAAGAAAAATTACTTTTTTTTATTACATAATACAAAACTAATGTATTAAATTGATGTCTCTAATAATTAGAGTAATAATTATTAGCTGGACCTAATATATCTATATATATGTAATTATGCATTAATACCAAGGTTAAACCATCTGGTTTATCATACATGCAGGCAGAGTTATCAGCCGATGCCAATAATCTCAATGTCCACATATCAGTGGATTAATCACACGTCAATAGATATTGATCCATCAGATTGAACATCAAAAAGGCTGAATATGTGTGCACATTTCACCTTGCCCTTGTGTGTCTCCTGTAACCAGTGGCGCAGGCGAATCAGACAGCTCTCCTGAAGGGGTGTGAGGTCACCCAGATACCGTTTGATGTAGTCTGCATCCAGTTTATCTAAACATAGATTGAATAAAATTTACATCTAGCAGACCTTAAGTAACTGTATGAAAAGTTAAACTGAACAAATGTTCCCAAACAAACTCTAAATTAATTATTTTTTTTTAACACTAAGTTTTAATAAAGTGAAGTATGCTTTATTTGTTGTATAGATGTATTTTGAGGCAAAGTACAAAAGGGAAGGTAAAATGAATAGAATGTTCTACAATATTACACTCTAAAAAATGACTCAGGGGACCCGTTACCACAGCTTAAATAAATGCATGGTTGCAAGTTAAAAATTCAAATGTAATAATTTAATTAAACCTTTTAAGTTGCAAACATAATTTAGTTGTTTAATTAACATAATAATGTTGATCATTACATTAACACCGTGTCTACACCGGACGCTAGAGTTGTCGTTTCGCGCCGTGCTGCAACAGCTAAAGTCTGTCTACACTGGACGCAACAAAGCGACTGTTGAAAATCATATGAAATTTGGGTCAGTACGTCATAAATAGAACGCAACAGCAGTTTACTGTCGGGAATTTGTTGTGCCGAACCGCATCCAGTGTAGACAGCATAATAGGTTTTATTGTTTTTTGTCCGGTGTAAACACGGTATAACTTAATATTATGCGTAATTTAAACTCAAATTTCTGCGTTAATTGAATTTCTTTAAAAGTTAAGTTGTAGTAACTCAATAATATTGTCTTGTTAACTTTGGAAATTGGGTTGTGGATTTTTAGTTTCCAGCACGCTTTGCACAAAATCATATGAAATTTGGGTCAGTACGTCATAAATAGAACGCAACAGCAGTTTACTGTCGGGAATTTGTTGTGCCGAACCGCATCCAGTGTAGACAGCATAATAGGTTTTATTGTTTTTTGTCCGGTGTAAACACGGTATAACTTAATATTATGCGTAATTTAAACTCAAATTTCTGCGTTAATTGAATTTCTTTAAAAATTAAGATGTAATAACTCAATAAAACGGTCTTGTTAACTTTGGAAATTGGTTAGTGCATTTCTAGTCCCCAGCATGCTTTGCATAGGACTGGATAAGGAGAGTAAATGTTGAAATTAAGTGTTATTTTATGTGTTTTTTTTTTTAGTGAAGGGAAAGACCTGTTAGTGTTTAATGCTGTTATGTTTGACATTTAAAAGAGTTTATTTTGAAGTTTTTGTGGTTACCATTGCTGAAGAGTAGACCACATGAAGGTAAACACTACATTGACTCTATTAGCAATGACTGCGCTACTGCCAGTGACAAGTAACATCTTACTTTTTAATTAAATATAACATGCTAAATAAGTTACATTTAGCATGTGCCATAGCTGTGAATTTGAACAGAAACAAAGATAATATAAATTGGTTCCAGGCTCACAAATCCATTAGTTGGAGCAACTTAATTTTTTTGAGTAACCAACTTAAAAATGTGTTTATGTTACAAATGATTAAGTTCTTCTAAATCAGTGTAGTTTGTTGGTTGAACATAATTTCATTAGAAGTTGTCATAACTCTAAAAAATTGATGCAAACTGTTTTTTTTTAGCTAACGCATTATTTTTTAGAGTGTAGAAAAGGTCAGAGTGGTAACAGTGTTGGTACTAACCATCTGGACTGGCTACAAGGGCGTCGTTCAGGCTGCCCGGAGGACTGCTGCCCTCTTTACACCCTTGAATCTCATTCACGCTCTCAGGAGGGGCTTCAATGGAGATTGTGGGAGTGATAGGCAATGCAGGAATAACAAGTGGCACCACTGGCTTTGTGGGTGATGGTGGACAAGGGCTCCACCGAGGTACACAAGTTAAACCTTCTTCTTCTAGCTCCCTCAGGTAGTATTCAATAATCTCCTTACCCTATAGAGAAATAAGAACACATCCCTCACATTTCACTTTTCACAACAGACTTTCTGTGAATTACAATGCACAAACCGTTTTCGCAATTCGGAGGAAAAAACACTGTTACGGATGTGACATCCCTCTGTTAAAGACGTGACAGTTCTGAAATTGGAATTTATCTATGGAAAATATTTAAAATCCTTTAAAAAAAATAAAAAATTAAAAGAGATCTCTACTGAGTATTTAAACTCTGACCTCTCAGTTAATCGACTTACAACTGAAATAGGGTATAATAATAAGATCGTGTATTGACGATAGTCAGAGATATCGCCTGCGGTTGATGCCTTTGACGATAGCAAGAGGATTATTATTATTAGGCTAGCAATACTATCTAATTAATATTAGGGCTTATTTGTTCCATCATATTTCTTTTTCTGCATTTTTACAGTGTTACAACTAATCACACACGATTCCATTGAGCTTATGAATGCAGCGGCCAATCAGAGACGTTCAGATGAGTCATCGCTGAAACACCGAAGTTTAGTTGATCAGTGTGCACACTCGCTGACTGAATTCTGCTCTCTCGCGAATTATAATGTTACAATGTTTCTATTAAACTGTTATGTTAAATACAAATTCAGTCATATTAAAAATATTTTGAGACCTGACATCCATATGCTACTCGACTAAAATTATATAATGTGTAGTTGATAGATTACACTAACATTAGGCTGCTTTTAGTCTTACCCTGCCTGGAGGCTGACGATAGGACAATAGATATGACTATGGAGCACATCACCCAACACTAAACTGAAACTGTAATGCAAATGGTTATGGATTGTGCGATTAAGTAGCATGCGTTCACACCATCTCTCATGCTGTTAATTGTAACCACTGTGACACTGTGCGATTAGCAGATTAACTGCATGTTTTAATCGACTAGAAAAATCTTTAGTCTGGGGCAGCCCTAAAAATTTTTTTTTAAGTTTTTAAATAACGTAGCAAACCAATATCACTCCAATTAATTGTTAATCTTTAGTTGTTGATTAACCCTCTAAGCGCCAATGTCGCAAAATTGCAACAAGACGTCATACTTAATAAAATAGACTGTAGTTCCTAATATGGTGTAATATCTCATTTGTATTCCCTACCACTAGATGGCAGACATGTAGTACTTCGATTCTAGACCAAAATTACGTCACGTTCCTATTCAAAGTGTTCGAGGAAATAGCAGAGCAATTGAGCTATCGTGTTATTGGTGCGGAAGCAGTTCAGTTCATAGCGTCAAGTAAATTGTGAGAGAAAATCGCCAAATGGCTAATAAAAAGTTGTACCGTGAGGATGTGTTGCAAATGTTATTTGCCAATTCTGACTCTGAAGGGGAATATTTGCCTTTTGGAAATGACAATCGGTCATCTAATAATCGCACTTCTCCCGGTACATCTTTGCAGCGCAATGGTACTGCCGTGCAAGGCGAGAGTGTTCACGAAGCACAAACAAGTAATCATTTCGACTCTTTGCCCAACGGGGATGGGGGTGGCAGGGGTGGACGTGGTCGTAGCGTCCATAGGAGAGCTGTTGCTAGAGGTAGAGGCAGCAGGGGTAGGAGAAATAGGGCTGGAAGTAGCACTAGCTCTTTGGATCCAGTCAGAGCGGCTCTGGATCCAGTGCCCCAAAGAGGTGGGAGTGGCCGTGGTACACGGTGCAGTCAGTGTGGGGTAGGTCTGTGCGCTGTGCCATGCAATGAGAGGTACCATACTCTCAAGAACTATAAACTGTGTCACCTAGATGTCACCTACATTCCACAAACTTTCGGTCATGCCCAACATTTTTCTAATTTACAGTAGATCTTTAAGCCCTTTCAAGCCACAAGCTTTTGAAATCTTGATGTCAAAACCCAGCATTTTTCAAAAAATCCCTGGTGCCTAAAGGGTTAAGATCATTTAAACGGGTGGCTGTCGTAAAAATTTGTTTCAATTACATTTATTCAAATATATATTCAATAATTAAGATACAAACAGGTTAAGCTGTTTTACTAACTTTTCCACGGCTGAAACACTGATACATTTTAGTAAGTTCTTCTGTGTCTTTCAATATACCTTCCGATGTTCATTCATGTTTATTTTGTGATATAACTAGTAGAAAAGAGGAAGAGATTATCTATTCACATGTGCTCCTCGCTGCTGCTTGAACTGTGGCGCGATGATCTGTCATGCCACATTAAAAAGCGTCAAAATTACATTTATTGTTTGAATTTCGTGATAAAATTGACATAAATTTTAAAGCTGAGACCTTGTTTCTTTTTGCAATTATTAGACAGGAGGTGTGCGCTATAGTTTATTTGTAGTTTTATTCACACTTCAGTTGAAAACGGCGTGGAATAAAATATTTTTTTCTTGGGATTTGATAACATTGTTAAAATGTAATTGTTGAAATTGGGAAATCGATATTTTTAGTCCAGCCCATTTTGAAAAATTTTAAGGGGATATCACTGCATTCTATAGGCTACATTACGCAGCCTTGCATCATTTTCGTCACCAATCAACCACATAGAAGTGTTCAGCTTGAAACGGTGCTGCATAGACCGATCAGTGTACGTCGTCTAAATAACATGAAAGCTATAAAGAGCAGGTGGCTCTGCATGCTTTCAAATTGCTCTCACGTTACTTTGATGTCATACACTGGTCGGTCTGCGCAGCACTGCTTCAAGTCGAACATCTTATAAAATGTAAGATAATGCTTGTGGGGCGGGGGTGTACGTTAATTGTGTAAAAAATTAACAAATTATTTTTTTCCATAACTATTCAATTATATTAGCTAGTTAAATCAACAGTCGTTCCGAATAGAAGACAGTGGATTTCTTTGTTTTTTTTTCTTGGAAAAAAAATGGGGTTGTCTTATATTCAGGGTCTACACTTTTAGGGCCTGTTTACACTTGATCACTTCATGCATTTTCTCTGATTGGATAGCTATCCGATAGTGAAAAGACCTTGTATAAATGCCCTCTTAAATGCTTTCGAGGTGGATTTAAATCTGATCACTCAAACCACTTCAGGAGGTGGCCTGGGACACATTGCAGAGGAACCGGACAAGTGTAAATGCATCTGGTTGTTGAAACAACATATGTAAATTTTTTCTCCTCCCAAAATGTACAAAAAATAAACGTGTGAGAGCGTGTTATAGGCTATATGACATGTTATATAGTTAGATATAGCAGCGCTAATGCAACAAAAGAAAATGAGGAGCAAACACTCAACATTTTCATTAAAAGTAGTGACACTAAATAATGTTAGGAGTGCTGATGCTGCGCTCTCTCCTATTGCAGTCTTTGCTTTTGAAATTGGCTGATAATGAATAAAATGCAGCGCATATGTTGCTTTCATTGATATGAACTCAGTTAAAATTGCACATAGAGCGGGAATTGAAGATAGGATTTATATCCGTTTTGCAGAGACACATTTATGTGACCAAGTGTGAATGGAACCATTTTAACAAATTAGATGGATATCCGATCACCAAAAACACATTAAGTGACCAGGTGTAAACAAGCCCTTACATGTCAATTAATCACTTGCAACAATAGGTGCCGCCAAATACGTGTAAAACAAGTGTGCCCCCGAGGACTGAAGTGACTACCGTCATATCATCAGTGCCCAGTGTTTCTCAACTGGTGGGTCGTGGAGTGTGCAGTCAAAGAAACATGTTGTCGGCTATATGTCAGTGTCATATTTAAATTCTCTCTCACCTCAGAAAAACAAACCTTCTTGTCCTCTCAGCCATTATACTGTGCTCATTGCACACACTCTACAACATCATAGTTATGTTGGTAAATTATGAAATTACCAAAGAATTACCAATAAATTATGTAACTGGTACTAGCTGGGAAGGATTTGCACAAAAGGTATGATGTCCATTCTATTAACCAGGAGCAGTTTCCATACGTTTCCATTTACCATTCATGCTAGTACTGTGTATTCATTCACCATGATAACGGTTGTTTCCATACCCCCAAAATGCAATTTTATTTTCACTTTGTATATTTTTGAATGACTGTGGTGGCTCATACCAACTTACTAACTGTATTAACAAAAACAAATTTGGGACTGCTATGTCAACCATTTTTTTTTTAAGTAAATTTGCTTGATTTTTGTTTGATCCGAAAACCAGTAAGTATCTGGTGTGACCATCATTTGCCTCACGCAGTGCAACACATCTCCTTCGCATAGAGTTGATCAGGTTGTTGATTGTGGCCTGTGGAATGTTAGTCCACTCCTCTTCAATGGCTGTGCGAAGTTGCTGGATATTGGCAGGAACTGGTACACGCTGTCGTATTTTCCGATCCAGAGCATCCCAAACATGCTCAATGGGTGACCTGTCCGGTGAGTATGCTGGCCATGCAAGAACTGGGATGTTTTCAGCTT